TGCATGTTAAAGCCCTCTCAAAGCACTTTTACTCCCATGCTTTGAGTTCTCCACTTTTATCTCGTTTTTTCATCTCTCGCCTCTGTATCCCAGCACCCTCGTTGATGCTTGTGCTTAAGAAATGCTAGATGCTGGTTAAAAGTCACATGTCAACTTTCCATCATTTATAGTGCAATTTAAGAGAAAGAAAACACACCAATCTGACTCCAGTATAAGTCTTTAGAGCTCTATCTGCACACCTTAAATGCATCCCTCTCTGCAGCTGCTGAGGTAACATTTGGACGAAGCACAAAAAAAGATGGGGAGGGGGGCTCACTGAAGTGTGAAGCGTTGCATAATCAACACCATCGGAACAAACAGCAGAAAAACATGAAAAACCCTGACATTTTGTGTCTTGGGAGACGTTCTGTGTCAGAATACAGATTGACAGACCACGTGACTTTTGCGCATTGCTTTGTGGGTACCCGTGGCAACAAAATCAAAACACTGCATTGAGCGCTAGTATTTCCAGCATCGGTAATCATTAATTCTGCGGTTTTAATCCCTACTTGCATTTTTATTTGGCCCCAAAAAGGCAAAAAAAAGGACGAGGAAAAAAAAATCAAAGGAGTGAAAGGGTCAGACCCATACGAGCATACAGAGCGGAGTAAGGACGTTAGCGTGCTGCCCAACTTTCATCACGCACATATTTATTATTATATGGTAATAAGTGTGAGTGCATACACTCACAAAATGTTTAGTGACTTCAGATCCCTGCAACAAGCCCAGGTCCAGTTTACTTTGGTGATTTGGACTATTCCATTTCCCAGCTGTTATTTTTTTCCCCCCTTTATCTCCTGTACAGGCAAGCGCAATCGTTTCAGGTTGTAGTATTACACAACATTTTCAGATCTAATAGAAATAAAATGAGTTTTTTCGTAATTCATTCAATTTATTGTCTTTATTTATAACTGGCATTATTGTTTCATTCTATTATAGAATCTTACAGGAAAGAGGCAAAATTGTAAAAATCCATTATGCTTTATTAGCTGCTTCGGTGAAAAACAAATCAACAATGCAAAAAAAAAAAGAAAAAACATTGCAAAACAACATATTGGAAAACATGTATTCATCACTTGATTGCTTCAATACAACCCTTGGGCACATATATGCGGGACTTTTCGTGGCTGTTTTGAGCTCTCTCTCTCTTAACCGATCAAATCTCGCTGTGGTAGCAGCTTTAAACTCAGTCTGACACAGGCTGATACAGGTTGATAGAGGGTGCCCAGTCTGGATCGCATTCCAGCATTTTGTAGGCTGATTTTCCTACAAAACACAACAAACGTTAGCCCACAAAGCCACAGTGAACAAAGCAGCATAGCACAACAATTTCAATTCAAATCAATATAAGACTTATTTGTAACCTACATCAACAATTATGTTATGATAAATTACGTAATAACTACAACAGAAGACTTACCTTTGTGGAAATGCTTGGAGCAGACTAACATGTGAGCTGGAGTGTTCTGGGACGTTATATTTGGTCTTTGAATGGCTGCAATCCAGGCCATCCGTCGGCTCTTTGTTACTTCGGAAACATGGCTCGAACAATTTCTCTTCCACGACGTAATCCGATAACAACCGATCTCTTTACCCGTCGGCTTCCCGTGGCTGTCATGCGACCGGCTATTGCAGTTAATAATACAACAGCTTCTTGACATTTTTGTGTTTCTTTTTATCGCTGTGTGACTGTTTTCATGTGAAAGCCTGCGTGCGCTAGTACCACTTGCCACTCGTTCCCAGAATCCTTTGCGGTTTTACCCCTGAATGACGTCACATTTTCAATCTCTATATATAAAGGTGGATGAGACTGACTACCCATCTGCTTCGATCAGAGCCAAACTGGATGTTGTGATATTAGTCAGTGCTTTAGCTGAATCTTCCTTAGACATTTAATGTGTTATGTTGATTTCATTTGATAGATTTCCCCCCCCCCCTAAATACTTACTCACTGTTAATTATTAGATTTGCCAGGGTGATAGATCACCCAGTATTAGCTATTTGCTATATTATCTTATATATTCATATTTAAAATGATGAATGAAAATGTAAAAGGTAATAAAGAGACAGGGAACTTTGCAACGTCTCTGTTGGAAACACCACAAACACAATCAGTGTCTGATCCAAGCAGAGCCGTAGAGAGCTTAAAGGGGTCCATCACTCGTTCTCACATTGACACTACATAACTATTGGCCGATATATCAGAAGATCTCATTGTTTGAATCTAGCTAAACAGTAGTTTGTTTAATTTGACATTTAACTTACATGAAAAAATATACAGTGACTGGATACATCCACCAAGCACCTCGCTCCTGAAGGATACCTGCAGTCCAATCTCATTCCCGAGGCACAATATACTGACGATTTGTCAAGTCCTGCGGCGTTCCTGAGGAATGCGAAAGGTGACCTTCCGCATTCTTATGCTACGCGCCGGGTTATAGATAAAATCCAGTACAATAACGCTCCCGAGGTAGTACTCATTGCAGCCATGTATTCCAGTCCTAACGCTAACCAGAACCTTATCCCAAACCTTAACCAGCACTTTAATCATTTTAGATAGTGTTTTCCAAAACGATTTAAGTAAAATGAAAGTACATATGTAGATTCATTCCAAATGGTTCTCATATTTCCTTTGTTTTGTTTTGGGTTTTTTTGATCTTGTAATCTAGGGACATCTTGGGTGCCTGGAAGTGTAATATATCGATGATTTGTCACCTAGCATATGCTTTGGGAGTAAGAACGTGTTAATACCTGCACACAGATCTGCTTCTGATATTTTGATGTGAATACCAACAAGAAGTCTACTAATATTCTTTATTTCAGTTTCATATGTTTGTGAAACATATTACCCCAAATGGTAGAGAATTTAAAAATAATATAAAATAAAATCGGGATCTAGATCAACTCCAGGGGTTAATCACTTCTGCAGAAAGTTTTTAGTCACCATAGACTGTAAGATGTTGCAAAGACTGGCGATCTTGCAGAGGCACAATTTCAGAAACTATAGTTAGATTAACACTAAGACTTTTCCCATCGTGCTCCAGATGAAAATTTACCACAAAAAACGTTGATCAATGGATCACATACAGAAGCAGGTTTTTGTGTTTCTACTAAAAACAAACAAACAAAAAAACAATACAAAAGTGTTGATTTAACTCGAGCATCAAGACCCTAATCCAAGACAGTATGAGCATTTATGTACATTAAAAATATAACTGTGACACTGAAAGTGTTGGAAAACTACTTCAGAGTAAGGTTGTCCATAACTATACAGTCAAACAAACAAAAACTGAACGCATAAATTGAACCAACCACAAAGCTCTTTGTCAGAGGTAATTAACAGAGACACAAAACAGACAAACAAATGACTAAGACAACGGATTAATAATCAAAACTGATTTGTGTCAAATGACTAATCACTTTAATTGTTAAAAAGGAAAAAAGGGTCTCCTAGAATCTGCTCCGGCAACAAATATTCAGCTGCTGCTACTGCTGCTGTAATTACTCGTGATAATTAGGAGGATCTAAATTATTTTGTTGTCCTTTTGTCCCGACTCACACAAACATGTCGGCTTTCCCTCACAGAGGCGTGGAGCTCGGGCTGAAATGAACGTTTCACAATTGCTGACAAGCAGATGTTTCGCAATTAATTAAAATCTCAAGCTACAACTGGGCGCAATAATTGTTCCTTTGCTGCTGGATGTTCGTGTTGTGGAGCCACTGCTGTGTGTGTGTAAACTTAATGTTTAGTCTGACATTTCAAACAAAGCTTCCCGTCAGAAGGAAAAGGGAAACGCTTAAACAAAAGTGTGTGTTGGGGGGGACGCAGCTTAATATGCAGGAAAAGCCGTTGGGTCCGCGGTGGCGTGCGCACTCATAAAAACAACACATGCGCACGTTCTGCAGCTCCATCCGTCTCTTCTCACTTTTTTAATTTGTTTTTTTTATTTCTTCTCTTATGTGCTCTCATATACACGCGCGCACGTGTCTGCATGAACAGAGAAAAGCACAGTCTAGCCACACGTGCATGCCCGCCCCCCTAGACCCCCGCCCCCAAAAAACACTGCACAACATCCTTCTCGCACAGGCAAAACGCACGAACGCGCAAGAACCGAGCCTTCGGAGACCAACACAAACTCTGCAGCCTTCCTCTCTCTCCTTCTCTCTCACACACACACACGCGCGCGCGCACTCTCTCTACACCCCCTCTCTTCCCAGCATTAGTCAATAGAGTCAGGATACATAAACCACCCACCAGTCACCCAAAGCATCTCCCAGCCAAACCCTACCTCTCTCTCTCTCTCCCTGAAACAACACACATACAACCCGCAACAGCCTGAGCAAGAACAGGACAAGAACAGCAAGAACATTCAAATTCTTAAATTAAATCAGGCCAAGTGCCCAGAATTCATAAACACGCCACAGCACGAATTCAGGTAAGCAGCACACCCAGGTTGGCTTATCAGCACGTATGAAAGCAGCTCCAGCTCAAGTGTGAAGGTGTAATACAGTCAGAACATGTGGGAGGGATGGACGAGAACTGTGGCACAAATTCAGTCTTTCTTTGGGTTTAAAGCACATCTGACACACTCCAGTCTTTTTTTTTTTTTACTTGTTGTTGTTGTTAAGACCAGGCGTGTGGAGGAAGCTCTTAGTTGAGGACAAGCCGTATATAAAAGCTGTAAAAGTACCAGCTTTATTGGCCCTTCATTGCTGCTCTTGCTTATGTTAAAACTGACGCTCCAACACCATGGCCGACGTTTAATTTTGGGGAAACATGATAACAGGTACAGCCGAGCGCTGGCGCAGTTTCCAGGCAGCCTTTCAGTTATCTTGTTTATTTTTTAAAACCGGCCACAGCTTCAGTCAATTAATCAATTACGGACGCATACAGGTGTTAATTCGCGCTGTTTGCCGGTTTAAGCCGGATTTAGAAGAAGTCAATGTTTGGTGGCTCTTACCTTTTTGTCCGGAGACCTTGTTTCTCCGTTGGTGTGGGGAAAAAATAATAAATAATAATAAAAAAACGGCCGCTGCGCTCCTCCAAAATGAACGTTAACTCCCTTCTCCCTGGAGGTCTCGCGCACTTCACGTGCGGAGCTTTCTCACTCTCTGCGTTCTCTGCGCTTGTCTGTCCGTCTTTGTGTCTTTTCTTTTCTCGCGGGATTTCCTCCTCCACCTTCCAACCGTCTTCTTGTGCTTCTCCTCCTCCTCTTCTTCTTCTCTGCTTCTTCTTCTTCCACCACTTTCTTCGTCTTCTTCAGCTCGTTCTCCTCGCGCCATCCGGACGAAGACGGAGCGGCTCGCGACGCTTGTGCTCGTGCTGCTGATGCTGCGCCTCCATCCTGACGCCGGCGGCTGCTTCAGCGGGAGAGAGCAGAGATGCTCTCTCTCTCTCTCTCTCTCTGTCTGAAATCTAAATCCTGTAGCTACAGGTGATGATTTCCTTTTTTAAATCCGAGATAGAGTCTTAGTGCAGCCCACGCGGTTGCTTGCAGAGTGTCTTGTTTCCACAGAGAGGCGTCGGTAACCGCAGCGTTTGACACGGACGAGATACCACTTCACGTCCTCTCGCTCTCTCTCGCTGTTGACCCCCATCAAATGAAATGGTATAGATCCACTCCATTTCCACTCCACTGCGTTTGGAATAGGAACGCTCCTCTCTGTTTCTTTTTGATTTATATGGTCGTATTTTTCTTTTTTTGTGACAGGCGTGTTTAATAAAGACTTTGCACGTTGATGTTTTCTACTCAGCTCAACAAATATTTGATAAGGCATCCAGCACTTTAATCGTTATATTATGGAGTTGTTAAAACAGTGGTGCTTCAGCATTTCATTACACAGTTAAGGATCTTTATGCTTCTTTTGTTGCAAGGAATACTGAATTATCTTTACCCTGCATTTATTTGTGACGTTTCTGACAAATAAATGCAAACTAAAGGATGGACAGATAGATCAATAGATGGTTGCAATAATTTTTAAGCATGATAACTTCATGAAAGCACAACACAAGGGGAAAGCATGACATTTAAGTAAATCTGTCAAAAACCAAAAAGAACATTTCAGAAAATAGCACACATAAAGCATGTTTCATACAAATAACTATTCAGAAAAGCAATGAATGCAAAAACACCCGATTTCATCTATTTTTTTCATAACTTGTTCACTACACCAAAATAATCCAACTGTTTAGTTTTTTTTGTCTTATTTTCAATGAAACCTTCTGTTTAAATTGATTCTTAAACCACTTTTCACCCCTAGAACAGCCTGTAGACTGAGTATGTGAAATTCATTTTACATTGTGGGCCACATACAGCTCACTTTGATCTTAGGTGTGCCGAACCGATGAAATCCCTCTTTCTGCTTCTGGGAAAAGTGCATTTTCAACAGTATGTCTCAGTTTTTTCACATGATAAAGAAACATTGCTGAAGTAAATGAAAGAAATCTCTCAGCGTGGCTGTTTGGGGTTAAATTATAAGCAATAAATGTGTAAAACTACAGAAAAAGTTCTGGTAGCTCGATGACTTGATTGTGTGGAATCTCTATAAAAAAACACACATTTGGAGAGTCAACGGTGACAAAAAAAAATGAGTAGACTTCAGTTATTTGGGGGTTTTTTTGTCCGTGTAGTATGAAGGACTAGTATTAAAACACATTTTTAAAGTCCAAAATTTATGGCCTCGTTAGCATTTTGCAAAGCCCCCCAGTGGGCTGTAGTCTTTGCTGGACTGATAAAAATCTGTGATGGTCTAAAATGTTACACAGAGGTGAAATTGAAATATGAGTATTACAGTCTTAATCCATGACATGTAATCTGCTACCCTGCACCATCTCTGTCAACAGGATGGATTTAATGTCGTGGATTTGTTTAGCAGTTGCACAGTTCAATCAGCTGCATTACTTTTGCTGTTCCTCCCCCTATAGTTTAAACATTAGTAGGCAACTAATAGGTGCCTGGAATCTGATCATTACTGACCCTTTTGAAGGTTGTTTTTTTAATTTCTCTTCCATTAGTATTACATCCTTAGGACTAGCTGAAGTTTTCTATCTGATGCTGGACAGTGTTTAGAGACTTTCGTCCATGCTCTTCTTGCTAATTAGAGCTGTCAGTCATTGCCAGGGGGCGGGTCTCAAGTGCAGAGGCCAGCTGGAAATTTGAGGGTGCAGCTTGAATGCTAAGGAGGCTTTGAAGCAAAGGTCCAGTTAGACATGCACTGAAATTAAATGGTGACCTCTTGTAGTTAATTAAGGGCACAGCAGCAGTCCCCTTTATGAACTATAGAAAATAGAGACTGATAAGTTTGAGGAGATAACTATTTTCATTTTATTTTATTTGAAACAAAACTGGTGCCTTGTTGATTTTCTGATGCCTAATGATCAACAGGTAAAGATTTACTGTGACGGACTGGCGACTTGTCCAGGATGTACCCCACCTCTTACCCTATGGCACCAGCTGATGGATGGTAAAGATTCACAACAAGAGGTCACAGGTGTGTGTAAAGTGTTATACTGCAGCTGGTTGTAATTTTTATGGTGACTGCTGTCCTGTCAGAGGTACACTAATGCCATAAAGCAGCTTGTAGTCCAAGAAGTTGTTAATACTTAAAGAGAATATCTATTTTCTAATTACAAACCATTGAAACTGTAAAGAAAATCCAGGAATATCTTTTAAAAAAACATGTAAAGCACTAGTTAAAGACTTCAGGCTGAACCAAATCTGGTTCACTGGAGCTAGACAGGCCTCAGACAGGTGTACATACAGATTGCAGTTACACAAGACTGAGACAATCATATGTTCTCCCACCTTGATGTAAAATTGAAGCTAGCCTTTATTGATTCCCTTAAATGGATCCATTGTATTTAATAATATTTAATTTTAATTATTAGGAGCATTGAGCAAGCATTGTGCAGTTACCTTAGGATGTTTGGAAGACTGTAAAGGTCAAATCTCAGACAGGAAACCAAAACAAGAACAGGAAGAACATGCAGACTTGGTATACACTTGCTGCGAGGTGATATTGTTTGCCACCTGGCCATGAGTTCTTATTGTTTTCATCAAGACTTGGTGTCCCATCAAGACTTAATATATTGATAAAAAACAAACCCAATTAACCAAAAAAGTTTGGATATTGTATGAAATATACATTAAAAAGATGCAAGAAGATGTTCTCTCTCTTTTCTCTTTTAAAATCTTTAAATACAGCAGCACAGGCCAGACTGATGGGAGACTACATTCTGTGGTGGTCTTGCAGAAGCACCTTGTTTGGCCTTGGGGTTTACCCAGAGTAAAGCTGACCTTACTTACTCTAGCAGGTCTTAGCCTCCACATTCTCTTTTGTCTCTACCATGAGGGGGGACAGAGAGACGAGAACCATAAAGTTAGAAATGCAACATGATTTCAGTGTCTTTTTATTCTGGGGAAACATTAGTCCTGTGCACACACAAAATGTGGACTCGAACTCTAAAAAGAAAACTGCTTCTTTAGAATTGACGTCATTGCCTTTGAAGACCAAAATGTAACAGTTCAGCTACTCCAAATACACTGATGTCGTACCAAATTCACTCCCTGTGCTCATCTCATCTGATGCTAAATGTTCCAAAAGGAAAGAATGAATACATTTGTGTGTGTGTGTGTGTGTGTGTGTGTGTGTGTGTGTGTGCGCATGGTAGCAAGTATAATCCATCATAACGCAGAATAACGCAGACACCTGGTGCCTCTGCTATTGCCCCTGCTTTTCCTGGACAGTGTGTGTGTGTTTGTTCTGCCCAGTGTGTGGGAGTC